CCACTGGAGTGCAGTTGTATAGAAAGAAGAACAAAAGTAATGGATAAAAAAGGGGAATTATAGAAGAATAATTGTAATAAAATCATCATAATGGTGTAGGTACTAAAACAAAAGCAGCAAACTAGATTTTGCTCATAGGAGGGAAGGATAGAATTAAAATGAAATATACTGTTTCGCTGCTTGAAATACCACATGTAGTTGATTAAGATATTAGGGAATAAGTTTTCTTGCTAAGTAGCTGCAGTAATCTTATAAGGAAATGTTAAGGGATTTAAACCTTCTTCTTCTTCCAAGAAGAAGGTGGGAGGAGAGGGAGGACTTCATTATGGAGTAGGCTGCAGGAACCCTGTTAGGTTTCTTTGCTCAACTTAATAGAGGTAAATTGCTTTAAAGGCTAGACCACCTAATCTAATAATTAGGAAATTAGAAGTTAATGGGAAACTTGCACAAAATGTATTCTATGTGAATTAATGAGTTTATTCAGCGAGTTGGGGCAACTTTGGCTCTAGCAAAGGAATTGACAAGGGTTGGTAGGAAGTCAAGCGTAGTAAGCAGGAGCTGGAACAGTCTTGACTCTCAAGCGAGACGTTTTCCACTTGCAGTTGCAAAAATTTCACGTACAAGCAAAAAAGGCAAAAATCTGTGAGGACTGAAGAGAGAAAGTTTAGCAACATCCCCTGTAGCTGAAAAAACCCAAACAGGACAAACCTCTTGCCATGAAGAAAGAAGCACCTCCCAAACTTGATAAGGCATCCAAATATCTTCTCCATATGTCTCAGCTGCTCAAAGTATCTTCTCCCTGTGTATCAGCTACTTGAAGTACCTTGTTCTTGGCTCTCAGCAGTTTGTGTCTGGCAGTGCCCCTGCCCGCAGAGCGGGGTGCCTGGTAGGTGAGTTGATGAGGATGGTTCCAGCATCTCTTCCTGACCCTCTCTATCCAGATCATAACTTTAAAATAAAGAGAGCATTAATACTTGCCAAGCATGAAGGATATTTCTAGCTAGTGAGTATTTCTCCTTTTCTTCCTTCCCTATTTCATTTCAGGAAAAACTGTGTAGCATTTTCAGGCAGTCCTACCTCTGGTAATGTTGTCAGCTCAATAACTGGGGGAGCTGGTGCTCTACCTTTGCTAACGGAGGCAAATTCCAGCTTTGCATCGGTGTTTGCTTGCCCGAGCTTGCCGGTATGACATCAGCATTTGGCTTTCCATGGTACCAAGGGATGATGGTGATATCTCTGTTGGCTCTGAGACAGCCTGCAAGAGACTGCTGGGGTGGCAGGAGTGGGTAAAGGCAACCAGCCTCTCTTGGGGAAGGCAGGGTGTTTTTTTCTGTATTCTTGAAGTCTTTGCTCCCCGGTCCCTTTTCTTTCTTCATCCTTTTAACAGGTGGAGCAATGATCCTGGTTAAACTTAGAGACAACCAGGAAAAAAAGAATATTATCACTGATGAGAAGAGCCCTCTTCTTCCCCAAGGAAGCAGTAATAGTATTTACTTGATTTCTGTGCTGGGTAACTGCTCCTTTTGATTTCTAGATGCTTCACATGAAAGCTCCAGCTAGCGGCACATAGTTTCTTCAGATGTGTACCAACAGACTTTCAACACATGGCACAGAATATTAAATTGGTAATTAAAAATGCCATGTTACAATTTAAATGTCCATCCTAGATACATTGTATGCCTAATAGTCTTCAGAACTAAAATGAGTTTATTCCCTTTGTTTGCTTTTTTTTGTTGTTAATCTACAGAGAGTCAAGCTTTTCTCTTTTTCTCTTCCCTTTCTACCTGCTCCTGTCCTGCATGGAAGTGACTTCTGCAGATTTATTCAACTTTATGCAAGAGGCTGAGGTTTTTCCAGCTGCTGCTCCTCTCCCATTGGTTTCAGAGAAGCAAGGTTTGCTGGTAGAGCTGCACCAGCACACTGAGCAGGGGGGCTTCGATGGCACCACGGGGTTAATCTGAGCTCACACCCCTGATGAGTGTGGTCACTCCAGCAGAACTTCCCAATGTTGTGCTACTTCCCTAAATTTCCCAAATTAATACCTCCTCGCATGTTATGCTTTCCCTCTTTAGAATCTGTTTGTTTCATTTTCTAATGAATGTCTTTGTACTACTACTCAAAGGCTGGGATTGTGTTTCTGCAAATATGCCTAAATTTAGTGAGTGTATGTGGTTAGAGAACAGGGCAGTCCAGGACACCAGCTAAAGAGGAGATGGGTGTAGAGCACGAAGCAAGAGAGTATGGTGAGAAATCTGACACAGCTTCAATTACATTTTTACGTTTTGCACTTTCTCACGCGCTCAGGTTAAGTGAAAGATCCATGTGAAACTAGATTTCTTCTGTGTTCAGACTCATTGGAATGATTTCTCTTACATTCTGACCATTTATAACTGGTTCCTGAATGGTGACCGAGGGCAGTGATAGGTAGGTGTGTGTGTGTGTGTAGGCAGTTGGATAACCACCATCTCTGTGTGTGATGTGCAGATCATCACAGCTTCTCTCTGCAGTAGCAGCATCCAGTTATTATGAACCTAATCGTTTTGACTTCTGGTCAAGAAAAACTAGAAAAGAGGCCAAACCACCACCCCCACACCCCCCCCCAAAGGGTGATTCTACTGAGTGTCTGCGTGAGAGCTCAATACAAGAAGGTATTGATGCGGTTGCAACTAAAGAAAGATCCCACTGACAAGGTTAATGGGAGGTGGGTACAGTACTTCCCTCTGTTTCTTTAGCAGCTAGAGATGAACAAAAAGTGAACTTGCTGATAATCCCCTGGCATTAAAGGTTGCTGCAATACCGTCCTGCTAAATTGAGGTGGTGCCTGGAAACCCTCATGTATTCAGCACACACAGCCATGCTGGACATGTACGGGGAACCTTTAGTATTTGCTAAGCAGAGAGTTTATTGACTTCCTTGGCCGTACAAGTGTAAAGATGTAAAAATGTTCCAAAACTTGGACTTGAGGCAAATTTAGCTATCAGACTGGCTCTGCTAAATGAAATAATAATGGCAAAGGCATCGAGATTTGAGGTGTAAAAGAAGGGGAAGGAATGATCGTTGAGCCCATGGTTGATGCTGAGCCTGCTGCAGCTGGCAAGGCGTGCTTTTCACAAAATTACTGAAGAGTGGAGGAAGACTTGGGGGAGGTGGTTTTCTCCCCCACTTGCTTGGACCCAGCTTATTTTCTGCTTCTTTCTTGCCACAAAAGGAGTCATTTGTTTAATTTTGCAAAATGTTACTGAAGCTGTTGGAAATGAAACTGCAGCCCACGTCTTCTTGATAAATGACTGTGTGTATTCCTGGAAGGAAGTTAAAATGGGTCTGTTATATTTGGTACCTCCCGAAGCACTGAGGCTACTTTGAGTACAGAATGTGCTCAAAGAGAGACTAATTTGCCACTGCAGAGCTTGATGTGATGAGATTTGTCAAGTCGTCGTTTCTGCTGGAATTCACTTACTCTTTCCTCTCTCTCCTAAAGATGTTTGCTTATATATTTCAGACTTGTTATGTCTTTGAACTGGTGGACCATAAAGGCAAGTCAAAAAGCCTAAAACCAGGATTAAATTCCAAGCAATGAATATGCTTATTATAAGGTGGAAATACAGAAGTCAAGCACCTGTACAACAGGTGGAAATATTACTGAGATGTTTCCCTGAGCACATTCACACACTTGGTAGCAGCAGTGTTGGAATTATTTGGACGTTTGAGCATCAGCAGGGTGGGTTTTGACTTCTCTCCAAAGATGCCATCTGAGATGGCATGGTGGTGGTTTCCTGCAGCAGGCAATTCTAGGAACTCCAGTAAAAATTAAGAGATTTAAAAAATTTTTTTTCCTCTGTCCATTTCCAATTTCATGCTGTTTCATTTGCAGGGCTTGAATGGCCTCTGGGTGTAATGCTGCAGGGAAAGGTGGGATGGATCTGCACTCCCAGAGAAACTCTCAGTTGTTTTACTGGATTCAATGTTTTCTGTGTCCTGTTTTCTTTCTGAGAGTGTTTTTTGAGTGAATGTAAACTAATACTGGATCAGTGGTTAGAAGCAATGAAAAAATGCTTAATGTAAACCTTTTGGTACTGGGTTGATTAAAATAAACAACCATTATAAGGAGCACTGGTCCTGGTTTGTGAACAGTAGGTTTTCTGTTCCTCTGTATAATGCATAAAGCATGTGGAGCTGCTTGCGAGCTTTTGTTTTGTGCTGTACTTTATTTTGAGGTATTTCGTTTTCAGTTCTCTGAGCTTTTGTGTCATCTGGGAAGGGAAGGGTGTAGGAGTAACGTGTAAAGCTTTGTTTGGCTAAAGCCTGTTTAGTTTCAAATCTTGACAAATAGCTGGTTAACAAGTATTTAAAAGAAAGCTTGAACTTTGTTTTCTCCCTTTTGAAAGCTGAGAAGATCCTAGTTCTGATTTTATCCGTTCCTGGGACTGTTTGTTTCTAGTTTCTACGCAATTCTTCATCAGAGCGTAGGCAAAGCATAGTTGATGTAGACTTTGTGCAAAACGTGCCATGTGAGTATTGCACCCAAAGTTATTGAGCTGTAGTGTATAACTGCAGAAGATTTTGTGTTGTCTTGATTTGGAGGTGCAAATGTAGAATTTCTGCTGTCTTTCTCCCTATACCTATGGTGATGGAAAAATGTATCCATGGTATTTTTAGGGGAGGGCAAACTGAGATCTTTATTTGTAGGAGAGGTGCAGTAAATATGCATATCTATTTATTTAATGACAGCAGGTAGGAAACATGAGTTGCAGACCATTCACATCATGCCATCTTTTTTTGCAGCTGCTGGTCTTGTAGCCAGCTCCCATATCCCTTCCTTCCTTTTCTTTGCCCATGACTCTTCCTTTTTTTAACTGTGTTTCTTACATGTGCCCGTTCCTCCTTTTGCTCCAGTGAAGATAAAACCCACTCTTTGCTAGAAAGAGACGTGTTTTCTGCCCGACAGGTTTACCCCATGTTGCCTCACGGGTGTCTCTCTCTCTCTCTGGTTGCTGCTGCAGAGCTGTGGAATGCTGTGAAGACTCACTCACTGCCCTGCAGCTGTAGGCAGACTCCATTCCGGATTATCTCCATCCGAAGGAAGCTCGTATCCAAGAGGTATCAATTCACATTTTATGTGTGCCCTTCAATTGTAGCACTTGAGTTCAGATACTCCTCCAAACACTTTTTTTCCCTACTCCCTCCACAGAGAAAAGCTTTGGATGCCACAGAGATTGCAAGTGTTGATTAAAAAGCGTTGGTGTTTGGTATGGGTTGGACCCTTGTTTATATTAAATGAACTTTGGTACAGAATCACATTACATTTTAAACTAAGCAAGTCATTTCTGGGTCAAAAAATGCATAAGCTGAAACTCCAGCAACACTGTATGTCTAGCATATTTTATTGTGTTGATTTATAGAGTTAATAAACCAAGGGTAATCAGCAGACTGGAGCAGAACACACAGTAGGTATGTGCTGCTCCTATAAAGAACTGTGAGAGTTAGGGGGGTTTTAGTGTTTATTAGTCTTAATATCTTCTTAGTAAATAATTTATTTTTATTTTATATTAAAAAGAAGGCACAAAGTATTGCCTGTGTTCGCTAGCTGGGCCAAAATTACTGAGTTGGTAAAGGCATGATTCCTGCTATGAATTTCTGTCATTTGCCTGTAGAGAGGCAAATTATTTTCTAATAGTTTATGTTGCAGCCTTTCATAAAAGAAAGCTAGAAACAATTTTTCAAAATCCAAACTTTGCGGCGTGATGTGGTCTGTAAATTGGTTGGAGCAGGTTCTATCTTAACTATTTATTTTTGCATATGGTGCCTAGCATTATGAGACCTGAACAAGTCAAGACCTCTAAGCATTTATATATAAGAAAATCAAATATGCTACAGTAGTGGTATACCATGATATACAGCTAGCTATTAAATATCAACATACTACTTCAGGAAATCCCCGTGCTGGCCACAGTTAGGGGCTGGAAAGTATGCTGGGCAAATGTCACTGTGCGCCTGCCCTGTACTTAAATTTTCCCCTAGGTATTCACACTTGGGTTTTGCTGCCGAGAAGACCCTGGGATAGCTGAAGTGTCAGTCTGTCCCAATCCAGCTGTTCTTGTGCAGAACTATGGAAAAAAACAGGGTTGATTTTTTTTTTTTTTTTTTTCCCTTTTATATGTTTTGTTGCTTGCTTAGTAACATGAACTTTAAATGTCAGCTACCAGGATACCCACTGAGTGTTCTGCTCCCACTCAAGTCAGGTTTGCTGAAAACCAGATGCAGATAGACAACAAAAGTGTCGACGGGTGCTCTCTGCTCTTGGATCCACCGCACTGCATCGGGATCAAACACTTAGGCGTGCCGTGACCCTTATCCTCCTGATATTTTGGCATGCAGAAGCGGTCCAGCCCTGCTTTGGGAACAACCTGCCCAGATTAGATGCCTACTCTTTGGGTACGGACAAAATCAGGCTGTTGTTTCTTCCTCATCCCACCCTCAGCAACTCAGCCTGTCTTAGGTGGGATGGGACAGAAAGTTCCAAGCATTTCAGAAGAGCTTTGCTTTGTCCTTGCTTGTGCCAATCTTGAAGCAACAAAGCTGGCTCCCTTTACATCTCCCTCTTCCCCTTTTTGTTTTTGTGTCATGCTAAGAAAAAGGATAAAGGGAAAAATAAAAAAGGACTTTGCTGCTTCTATCCCCTTTTTCTGCACGCTTGCCCCCCCATCTCCAAATTGAAGCAGCAGTAGGAGACACAGCTGGGGCTATGCTGCTTTTTCTGGGACTGAAAACAGAAGTCCAGGGCTGCAGAAGGAAGAGAGGCAAAGCCAAGGGCATGCATTCAATGGGTTATGAGGGAGGAAGAAGGCAGAGGTGGGGGCTGAGTTGCTCAGACTGGAGAAATGGGACTGGTATTGATGGAAGTCAAGATGTTTTTTCAAATGAGAATAAGTTGTTAAGTGTTGGCTTTGCATGAGAGAGCGAGCTTCTGGTCCAAAGGGCTCCGGGTCCAATTCAGCTCCAGACTAAGAAATTTAAGTTCAAGCTTTGTGTGTGCTGGGTGTCTGGAGGTCTCGAGAGGAATTGCTGGAGCCTGGAGAGATTTGATTGACTAGTTACTGGTTGTCCTCTTCAAGTTGATTGGGCTTGTTCTCCAGGCTGTGACTGCCCTCTTTAAGATCTCCACCAGCCACTTCAGACATTTACTTTTTGGGTGTCTTTATCTTGGACCGAACCTCTCCCTTTTAGACTTATGATGGTAAACAGTGTTCAGAAGTGAAAAGATGGAAGAGATTGTGTTAAAGTCTTGAATGTTTGTGTACCCGACCTCTTAACTTAGTTTACTTAGGGTAGGATATTTCCTGCTTGGGAAGTACATCACTCCCCCAAATCCTAAGTGGAATTCCAGCAATTAAATAGTTAACCACTGTGTGTGTATAAAATCCATCTGTATGGGAAAATACCTCTCTTTTCTATGTAATGGTTTGATTTGATGTAAATATTTTTAAATGCACTTTTACATTAGGCTGGTTTTTATACAGTGTGTGTGAGTGGAATTTGACATGTGGTTAACTGGGCCTGTACTTGAAACTTTTGCTTCATTCACCTCAACGTTTTGGAACTCATATGAAAAATTTCCATATGATCTTTAGTCTTATGACTGTTTATGCCAGTTTGGTGGGGTCCACGTGGCGGTCTTCACTGGGCTGGGAATGTACCAAATCCAGAAGTGAAGCACCTTGCCAGTGCGTGATGGATACTTCTCTGCTGTTGGGGCATGACTACTTGACTTAGTGATTTTCTTTTCTACTGCATGAGCAAATCCTTTGTTCACAGATCTTAGGTTTTCTTGAATTGTCAGCTCTGATTTGGAGAATAAATTTCCTGACAGAGAATTTATGATATGGATGGTGATTTTTGTTAAGTCGAGTTATGTACTGCATCCACCTCTGGGGTCCCCAGCACAAGACAGACATGAACCTGTTGGAGCAGGTCCAGAGGAGGCCACCAAAATGGTCAGAGGGCTGGAACATCTCTAGTGTGAAGAGAGGCTGAGAGAGTTTGGGGTGTTCAGCCTGGAGAAGAGAAGACTCCGGGGAGACCTTAGAGCGGCCTTTCCATATATAAAAGGGGCTTTTAGGGAAGACAGACTTTTCACCAAAGTCTGTAGTGACAGGACAAGGGGCAACAGTTTTAAAATGAAAGAGGGTAGGTTTAGATTGGACATAAGGAAGAAATGTTTTAAGATGAGGGTGGTGAGACACTGGCACAGGTTTCCCAGAGAAGTTTTGGAGGCCTGTCATTGGAAGTGTTCAAGGCTAGGTTGGACGGGGCTGGGAGCACTCTAATCAAGTGGACGGTGGAACCGGGTGATCTTTGAAGGTCCCTTCCAAGCCAACCATTCTGTGATTCTATGATTCTATGTAGGTCCCAGGATCCTATGAGACATCATATGATTATTGAAGGGTGAAAGGAGATCCCTGTCCCATGTTCCTGGTGGACTCTAATGAAGGTCATACCAAGGACAGTGGTTCATGTCTCCTTCTTTCCTTTGAGTCATGTTTGGAGGAAGGAAATACATCATATTAGAACATAAACAGTGTTTTAAAATGTAGCCTTCTAACTAGTTTGGACATATTGTGGGGTTTTGGTATGTTTATTTCTCTGTGCTGCATGACAGTTGTGTCTATGAACATGCCTCTGAGGTAGAAGCACACTGCTCATCCTCACAACTTGATGTGACCGTATCTACACTACTGTAGTGTGTAAGTTAATGGAGCATGAACTGAGGCTCAGGAATATGGTGTGTTGCTTCAGAGCTCTTTAATTTGGAGATACTTCAGTCTTACATTTGAAGAGCTGAAGCTAGTAGCTGGCAAGCGAATGGCTGAGACCTTTAGCTTGAGGTTGCTGGTTTTCTGATCCAGGTGATGGGCATGAGGGAAGAAGCAGCTTGCTGTTGTCTGTGGGGTGTACGGGTTTGGTTGTGAAGACAGGTCAGAGGACTGGTGTTTTCTACCATACTGCATCACCACATCTGTGCTGAGTGTGTGACATGCTTCGATGGATGCTCTTACAGTGAGCAAGAATGGCTGCCTCAAGAGCAGAACCTTCCAACATGTTTCTTCTGTTCTTCTTGCTTTTGGTTTTGCCCAGCAACCTCTTGCTGTGTACTGGAAGAGACAGGAACGTGGACACCCTTGGTCCATAGTGGGGAATGTCAGTACTCTTTCTCTTAAGCCCTATCTCATTCTTCTTTACACACAGTCTGAGTCATGGAGCAGCAAGGCTCTCTTAAATGTGCCTCAGCTGGCACTGTTCCAAGTCCCACAAGGTGTTGGATTTTGGTTGGATTCCTTTTCTTCCTTCTCTCCCATGTCAGTCACAAATATTATAGGATTCGGAAGGCTTTGGGGTCTGTAATTACTTTGTCCATCCTTGCTTCATGGGAATTTTCTTTTAAGAGGAAATTTAAAACTTTTGCTCTGATGGGACACAAGAGGAAGGTTTTTCACAATGAGAACTGGAATAATCTCAGGGAAGTGGTGGATTCCACAACATTTGACACTTTTTAAGATTCACCTGGACAGGTTGCTGGACCATCTTGCCTAGACCGTGCTTTTGCCAGGAAAGGTTGGACTAGACTCTATGGTATTCTATGGATTTTTTCTTCCTGAGAAATGTTTTATTCCTTTGTGAGCACTACTGCCATGCAGGATGTATCAGTGAAAGGAAACTCCCTCTGTGATGTACCTAAATACGCTGTAACATATCACATAGGGAAACTCTGTCCCTGCATAAGGTGATGAATTTATAAAGATTAAGGCCCCAGCATTTCATCTGAAGTAGCATTTGCGCAAATGCTTCTTTTAGTCAGGTCTACTCCCTTAAAAAAAAATCCACTTTTAATGTTTTTGTCTCAGTGTATCGTGACAGTCAGAGCCACCGGCTAATCACACGCACATGAACTGTGACCATGGGTCCCCAAGCTGGGCTGTGTCACTTCCAGCTCTCCAGATGAAACCTGCACTGTCCTTTGCCTGTCTGCAGTGCGTGATGGATGCTGTGCCACAGGGATGCATTGTGATCGAGCGTCAGGGTAGGAACATCAGCCCGAACTT